CGATAGATAGATAGATAGATAGATAGATAGATAGATAGATAGATAGATAGATAGCATAGTCAGTATGACATAAGTGAACTGAAAAATATGACAAAATAATGGTCTATTAGATTTAACTGACCATGAAAAACTCAAATAAAATAATATTTTTAATGATCATCTCTGTTGTTTTATTACTTAAATTCCTATATTCAAACAGCAATGCAGTAAAAACAGTGTTTCTTCAGTTCTCTAGCCAATGGCACAGCAGATGTACCTTTGACTTTCTCTGCTGGAGCCCATCTCTCAATACTGAAGCCGTCTAATGAAGAAGCTCCTGAACCCTGCAGGCATATCATTCATCACCCCACAAATCAATGTAAAACTACATGCTTATAGCCATGATGACTTTATGTCACATAAATGACTGGAATCAGGGACAGCATCTTGTTACACAGAAGGTGCTTCTCAGCTTCGCCTTCACTGCCATTACTTGCCTCCAAGTAGGCAGGGGGAGTGTCTTTGGAAAATCCTGTTTAGAAACAGTGCTTCTTTTTGCAGTTCCATTCGTAATGGACTGTTTTATAAGATTATCCAGATCTGATTGGATTCTGGACTGTAACTATTGTATTGTACTCAAGCAAGTTTCTCCTAAGTCATCTCTCCAAACATGAGAAATCATGTTTGCTCTGCAAAAATGTCCCCATGCTAAAGCACACGCATGGAGAATAATAGAACACGTGTGAATCTGCAAGTTCAGCCACAATACACAAGACTTTCTCTGTAGCAGATGTGTGGAGAAAGAAATGGCCTTTAATCTTGTCCTTATACTGTAAGTGCAAGTCAGTTGTTGTTGGCTCACTGAAGATGAACTGGGATCCAATAGCATGACATTTCCACAAAGAACTGCTAAAGGAGATAGGCTGAAAGATGGTAATCTAAGGTTACATTGAAATCACTAATATAAATAATAGCAATGGCAAAAAAGCAATGCAGGTTTACTTGCTGTTCCATAATGTAAATATCAACTTGAATATTAATGTTACATATTAAGGCGATTAAAGTCAAAGTGATTTTCATTACTCACAGATCTTTCTCCTGCACTAATATTGCTGAGGAATGAAAAGGTTCAATGGATGTTTTCAAAACGTTTGAGAACAAGGTAATGATTAATTGCCAAAGAGTGTTATTTTAGTATCATTGAGATAAGCATAGTTTTTATTAATATTTTGAATTTTTTTATTTTATATTTTTCATTTTTAGTTAGCATTTTGTTGTTTTTTATGTCTATAGTTTTTATTGCATTTTTTTTTATTTCAGTTGCATTTATTTTAGTATATAAACAGATGAACTATGAAAGTGTGAAACTAGAAATAAAATACATATTTTTTACAGATTTTTTATTTTATTTCCATTAATATTTTATTTATAGTGACAGAAATGTTTCTTTATGATTTTAGTTTTAGTGGATCATTTGGATAAATATTTGGTATGATTTAGCAGCTTCCACTTTAGACCAGTGCAAATAATGGACAGATTGGATGATAGTGTGTCGCATTCAGTTTAAAGAGTGTATATACTATCTAAAACAACTTTATAGTTTATCTTCCCAATGAAGTCTGGGGATTCAGATTGTCTATATTAAGGAGCAAAGCTTTACTCATTTCAAACATGAAGACATCCATATGTCTTTATGTAAAGGCGTGCATGCTGCTACATAATCCCCTACGTCAATGTACGCGTTTCTTTGTTAGTTTTGGCATTCACTTCGTGCAGTTTCTGACATGCTATTTATTTGAAAGCAAGAACATAAAGGGATTAACGTTTTTAGCTCGTACTAAACTCAAGATGAATAGCAAATTGATAGCAGAATGTGTGGAGACTGAGAATCAGTAAATTCAAAGGTGACTTTGTTCTTACAGTGGTTGGTGATGACTATTATCATTAGGCTCATCATTAGCAGTCAATGGCATCATATTCATGAAGTATATGATGAGAATGACTGCTAATGATGGGCCTAAAAGTCACAGCGCAATGTCCCAGGACAGTTCACACTGCTGTTCAGTATTTTATATGATTCATCAACTGAAATAGTTGCACCACAGATTAAACAACAACAACAACAAAAAAAACGTTTTTTGGAGATAAACAGTATAATCACAAGGTGCTCTAAGCAGAAAATATTTAATTTTATTATTTAACTGCATTGAAGCTTATTTCAATGTGATGATTTGAATTTCTACAATTAAAAAACCCTGTCTATTAAAAAAAAAGACATAAAAAAAAAATGTAGACGTGAACAAATTCCTAAAAAATGGACAGAAAATTAGAAACAGATGGAAAGTTACAAGCTGCATAATTTAAAGTGAACTCAACAGCCAAAGCTTTGCTGATCCTTAAAGATAAAAACGCATTCATGTCTCTGAATGCAAGCACCACAAAATATCATGTGTACGACAAGCTCAATGTCAAGGCTCATACAGTATATACGTATATTCAAAAAAGAACAATATAAACAGCTTAAAAAAAACAAACAAAAATGACCAATGTCTCTCTTTATAACCACCACCATTTCAAGTACCCCTTGAAGTGGGGTGTGTGCCACACAGATCCAAGATATTACTGCGTTGGTTTCTAATGTGTAAACATTCAATGCGGTTTGTAGTAAAAGTGTATTTGCAGGACAAACACACTGTTCGACAACACTGTCTTTCACTTTAGCTGGATCTTCAGGTACAGTGAGCCTCCATTCATCTCACTGTCTGGGTCTGGAGTGATGCCTGACCAGTCTCACTCTTCGCCTTGATCCTGTGTTTCAGTCCACAAACACACACATATAAACAAAGCTGATATAAACTACACATCTATGGTTAATTTTCCTCTTTGTATTATAAAGGTCTGGATTATGGTAAAGTTGGGTGTGAAGACAAAAGGTGCTATGGTTGTACTGTACATGTTTTAAATCTCAATTGATATTTAAAAAAAATAGCAATAAAATGACTTTAAGAACACATCAGATGTAAATGAGTTGAAACACATACCTTGTGGTTGTCTGATGGCAGCTCGTTTTTTAGAACGGCCCTCTGAGAAGAAAAATAATTCAATTAAACCTTGGGCATATGATCCATCCTCATATTATACACACAGAATTATGAAGCCACTAACCCTTGATGATTCTGGTGATTCTCTCTGATTCTGATTCGAGGAGGTCTGGACTGTCCTTGAAAGATACAATCTTTGAGAAATCTGGTCCTAAAAGAATAAAAAATAAATAAAAAAATAAATAAAAAAAGAAAGAAATTCAGCATGTATGCAAATTTGTATATAATATTAAAGCAGATATGATTAGATATTTTATTTTAAATATGATTTTTTTAATTATAATTAAAGTAGCTGAAACCAAATCAATCAATCAATCATTTTATGCATAAAACTTTATAATGTACAGTAAGAATTTTTTTTTTTAATTATTCGTGTTTTTGAAGATTGTAAAAATAGGTGAAATTATGCACAAATACACACACACACACACACACACACACACACACACACACAAATCTCTAGAATCAGAAGTGTAAAATCATTTCTTACCTTCAATGATCTGCGGTTCTGGTTGAATCACTCTGGTAATAGTGGTTTCCCCTGGTGCAACTTTGAGCACAAAAAGATGAATATTTGATTTGGTCTGAAAATTTAAAGCACATCATATCACTATTTGATATATTGAGTCTCACTTTCAATGATCTGAGGGTCTTTCTTAATTACTCTGGTCAAAGTGGTGAGCCCTGGTTCAGCTTCAAGCAAAAGGAGAAGTCAGAAATGTCAGTGACACACATATCTGAGCAAAACTTAACTCACATCATATCATCATTTGATTTATTAGGTCTTACTTTCAACAACCTGGACCCCTGGTTTGATTACTTTAGTTATAGTGGTGATCCCCGGTCCACCTTTGAGAACAGGGAGACATTAGAACAATAGATGGACAAAGCTCTGGTTCAAAGTCAAACCAGCCCTAAGCCAAATCAGTGAGTAATAGTCAATAATGAAAGCCTTAATCTGACTTTAGCTGTGCTGCTTAAAGGTTCTAAAACTGATTCTTTCTTTTAGCTGAATCATAAGTGCCATCTTGCCAAGAATGAATCAAAACCATAGAGTATGGACTTAAATCAAGAACATCTGCAATAGAGCCATGTGTGTGAGCCATGGGAAAACCAACGGGGCTTTATTCTGTTACGTAACTAGAGATTGTAATCCATGGGCATAAAATTAGACGGACAAAAAACATTAAACATTACTAAACAAGGACGAATCACCACGTTCACAGCTGCTCTCAATAAAAATGTCAAGCTCTTTAGGAAGCTAAAAAAGAGAGATCCCAAAGCCCTTCAAAATCATAAATCAAATTAATGTTTGGCATAAAAAAACAGTACAGGAAAGAACATGATCATTGCATATGCCAAGGATTATGGGTAAAAATGTTTGGCAGGAGAGAAAGATATATCTGAAAAAATGTGTGCTAAAGGGGAAGATTTAAGAACAGTCTCTTGGATCAAATGTAAATGGCTCCCCAATTCAATGTCAATGAGTTTGATCAACCTTTATATACAATTGTATCCAAGTCAGCGTTGTTGTTAACTAAAACTATTGAAACTGGTTTTCATTAACTGAAATAAAGCTGAAATAAAATAAACTATAAATGAATTAGATGAAGCTTAAAATTAAAAAAACTTAAGTGAAAATTAGAAATGTTGCCTTTGCAACAATCTAAAATAAAGTAAGTTAAAAGCACTAAAACAGAAATAAAAATAAAAAGCTAAACTAAAATAGAAAAGCACATAACAAAATTACTAAAACTTAAACTAAATTAAAATGAATTTCAAATGTAAAAAATACTTTAATAATATATAAATGATATTAAAATAACACTAAAATAGAGTATACAATGCAGTAAATGTCAGATAAAGGACAACTTTTATCATTTCAGCAGCAGTGAGGCTTGGATATAGGCATTTATTATTAATATGTCAACTATAACTTTCTTGGACCAACCTCCCTGAGTGATCGCATCAGTGATTTGTTTGATATCTTCCTCCTGGAGGATGCGTACGTCACCACCTTGAAATGTCTGCACCTTGGTTATATCTACAACACATGGACACACAAGGTTTTAATGTTTTATCAGACAGAATATCAAAAACTACTTTGTTTATAGCCATTCTGAACTAAACTGTATTGGCAACTTGTCTATTTTCTTTTGAGAACAGACTTGAACATGCTGAATGTCTCTTTCTAATCCAGTTCTTACTGTACTAGAATCAGTTTTCAAATGTTTGATAAAAACCATGGACATTTTAACCCTTGACAGCTTGGACAAAAAATAATGTATATAGTAATGCACTATACAATGTATAACTACACAACCAAATCAAGCTGTTAAAATTAATGACCTTCACCCATGAGTATCTTGATCTCTCCCTCAGTGTCAATTTCACCATCAGATGATGCACTGTGAGCTGAGCGAAAAGGCAATAAATAAATAAATAACAAGTTACAAAAAAACTGTGGTATGCTATTTTAAAATGAACCTTGCTGCTTAAAGGAATGGTTCACCCAACAAAGAAAATCACTTGCTCACCAATGGATTCTCTGCAGTGAATGGGTGCTGTCAGAATGAGAGCTCAAACTGCTGATATAAACATAATGATCCACATGACTCCAGTCCATCAATTAATGTCTTGTGAAGTAAAAAGCTGTGTGATTGTAAGAAACAAATCCATCATTAAGACTTTTTAACTTCGGTCACTTCTGTCCAAAATATCAGTCCATAATAGTGCTATATAATAATTATTCGGTGAAAAGTCCATCCTCTGTTGTCCTCTCATATCAAAATCCACCAGTTTAGAACTGTTTTGGACTGATTTCAATTGCAAATGGTGGATATTTCTGAGCATATTTCTCTCCTGATTCAGACAAGACAACTTTTTCCACTGGAGAAAGTATGGACAGAGATTTAATGATGAATTTGTTTATTACAAACATTCAGCTTTTCACTTCACAAGACGTGAATTATGTTCATATCACGAATGAGTCGTGTGGATTATTTTTGGATTTCTTTTCTGATGTTTTTATCACAAAACTGTTTTTATTCTCACTCTGATAGCACCCATTTATGTGTAGAAGATCCTTTGTGGAGCAAGTGATCTAATACTACATTTCTCCAAATTTGTTCCAATGAAGCAACACCCTCAGGCCATCCATGAAGTGGATGAGTTTGAATAAATTCTCAGCCAATTTTCATATTTGAGTGAACTTTTTCTTTCATTTAATCAAGTTGGTATACAAACTTTCAGTGAGCCTTGTGATCTTTGTAACGGATGGCTTCCCTTCAACAACTTTGGTGATGCCTGGATCTCCGCCAATCACTTGTGTAACTTTGGTGATGCTCGGATCTCCACCAATCACTCGCGTAACTTTGGTGACGCTTGGATCTCTTTCAGTCACTTGTGTAACTTTGGTGACATTCGGATCTCCACCATTCACTCGTGTAACTTTGGTGACGCTTGGATCTCTTTCAGTCACTTGTGTAACTTTGGTGACATTCGGATCTCCACCATTCACTCGTGTAACTTTGGTGACGCTTGGATCTCTTTCAGTCACTTGTGTAACTTTGGTGACACTCGAATCTCCACCAATCACTCGTGTAACTTTGGTGACGCTTGGATCTCTTTCAGTCACTTGTGTAACTTTGGTGACACTCGGATCTCCACCCTTCACTCGTGTAACTTTGGTGACGCTTGGCTCTCTTTCAGTCACTTGTGTAACTTTGGTGACACTCGGATCTCCACCAATCACTCGTGTAACTTTGGCGACGCTTGGATCTCTTTCAGTCACTTGTGTAACTTTGGTGACACTCGGATCTCCACCAATCACTCGTGTAACTTTTCTCTTTCAGTCACTTGTGTAACTTTGGTGACACTCGGACCACCACCAATCACTCGTGTAACTTTGGTGACGCTTGGATCTCTTTCAGCCACTTGTGTAACTTTGGTGACACTCAGATCTCCACCAATCACTCGTGTAACTTTGGTGATGCTTGGTTCTCCAATCACCACCTTGACCTCGGGACCTGAGGGAAAGGTAAAGATCCCGTCAGGAGGCATGTCAAGACCATGACATTTCCAGTAATCAGTATTTGTGAGAAATAAATTATTTAGAGACATTTTTCTTTTCTTGGCATAAAGTATGGCTGTCTTTTTAGGTACTATTATGCTGATTAAATTAAAGTTAGTTTTACTTCCAATGTTTTGAATGTCCATTGTGCCATTTCTCCTTGCTGCTTTTACTGATACGAATCACAAGTAAATGATCAAAGATCAGAATGGGAGTCTAAACCAATCATTAATAGTCACTGGTGCTGTCAGAACTGTTAATGAACACCAGGCCGGCCTTTCTTTCTAGACACTGCAACGGGGGTCACGTTTCATGCTACTGCTGGATTCATAAAACATAAATTAGTATATTCTGCCAAAGATGAGCTAAGACAACTGGCTGCGGATCAGGATCGTGAGGTTTTTGATTGCAGGCTCAGCTCAAAAGGTACTTTGTGTTTTATGATGGAATTCAAACACAGTGTGAACAGAATGTATATAAGAAACAACTGTACAAAATAAAAGACTACATTACAGACAATAACCCAAACTAGGGATCGAAGAAGTAGGTAACTGCAATTGAATCATTTTTGTTTAGTTCATAGGTACTGATAATGCTAATAATTAAAACAGTTTATTTTTTTTTGTGGAAACTGATTTTTTGGGGGGAGTCTTTGATATAGACAGACATTTTGAAAGAGCAGCATATATCTGAAATAGTAATCTTTTCTAACATTATTAATGTCATTGCTGTCTTTTTTTAAATAATTTTAATGTGTACCTGCAGAATATTAAGAATTAATTTCTTTAAAAAAATATCCCCAAACTTCTGAATGGTTATATATATATATATATATATAAACACACACACACACATTTGACACAGTCAACATTTAATCAACTGTTGACCCATTTACTTTGACATTATAATGATTTCATTCTACTCTGTTTGGTTTTAAAGACTGATTGGAACCACTGTGACACACAAACACACAAATCAGTAAATGAATGACACATGCGAATGTTATACTGTAACATCAACTTATTCAATTTAGCCGTACAAAGACTTCAAATAATTTGAATTTTATTAGTCCCATCAGTATTTAATTTATAACTAACTTTGTCATCAAAAAGATCTTTCAAGGAAACAATTTGTCTATAATTTACTAATAAATAAGAGTCCTGTTATGGAATTGGGTCTCCTACAGCGTTCCCTCGCAAAGCTGGCAATTCTGGATCAGATTTATCAAGATTTGTGATTGTAAAGTTACTTAAAAGGCTTTACAATTTTAGATATTGTCAGTATATTAATATTCTATATTTCAGCCCCCAATTTAAAGTATTGGATGAACCAGTGTTGGGTTCTGATAATTACACATAATAACTCTACAAAATTGTGGGACTTTAATTTTTTCATGATAAGGTAGCCAGTGAATGCCTGCTACTGTAGTTTGAGATCCAAAGCTCTGCTTTAAGTCATAACTCTCGAAAACACTGCCATTACCTAAGCTTTAATCAGTGTTTACCATCCCAAATTTTAAGCCAAGTTTCCAATAATATCAGTTTATATAAATTCCATTTCAATTTTACCATCCTGAAATTTGACATTCCCTCCTACCCAACACATAGGTCTCCTGCCATGGTCTGAGGCAAAATCCTCTCCCTCTCTTTCTTTAATGGCTCTATATCTGCTGTATCTGTCCAGCGACTGCCAGAGGAGATGCCAGTGCTGGTTCCAGCCAACAGAATATCATGTGCTCGCTCTCCTCTGGGGCTCTATGAAGAATCGGTTTTCTTGAGTTGCAGCTGAGGCAAAGTTCAGGCTTGTTGTTGTATTGGATAATGATTGAGTAAATACACAATTTTACAAATAGGCTACCTAAAAGTGCTGCTGGAAATAATCGGCTGGCAGCGAAGGGCTTGCCTGAGGAGCTCAGTATCGCAAATAAACTGAATAAATGCTTATGGAAGTATAAAAGGGGTAAGTGGATGAGGAAAAGAGTTAGCATTTAGAGGTGTAGTATAAAAAAATTTAATAAAATAGTAAAATAAAATAATTATGTATTACTGTATTACCTTTCTCAATGACATGAGTAGTTATAGTCCTCTCTGCAAGGCAAAATACATATAAAAAAGCATGTCAAATGTAATCTATATGCTGTTGATGATGTTATTATTTTATGTGAAACTTAAAGAGAGAAATCATGAACGAGGGATGAAATTGAACTTACTGATGAACGTAAGTGGAATCTCATGGTAGGTGTATCCAGATACAAACTACACACAAACCAAAATAAAAATAAAAATAGAACCAACTGATAAAGTGATATGTGTGTTTGTTCGGTGATGTACTGGACTGTGATGGATCTGTTATATCATGTGAGATAGTGTACAGGTATGATGTGTGTTCTGCTGTACCTTCAGCTGTATGTATCTGATGAGTCTCTTCAGCAGAATCAATATGTCTTCACGGCCAACTGGCAGATCTGTGAAATGCAGTAAAAAATGATTTATTAAGCTCTGGGGACTGTCTCTTATGTCTCAGGAATTGTACAGTTATATAAGAGTGGAAAAACCAGGTACACTGAAGTTAAAGACCATCTATGCAATTGATTTTAACTTAATACATGTAAAAATATTCTTAATCCCTCCAAAATGTTACATCTTAAACGCTGTTAGTAATATACCTTGAGGATATAAGATGGTCTTCACTACATGGACCACTCCATTGGATGCCATAAGATCAAAATCTGGAACCTCCACTGAATTTACATGGATGGAGTTGTTAACCTGAGTGTAACAGAAATATATTATTTTATAAAATATTACATATATAAGTTTTATAATTTTTTTTGTAAATATTACGTACATAAGTCTTCTCAAAGACTTATGCAAGCCTTAGCTGGGCGGACCAACGTCCTGTAGCACGACATCCGGACGCCACCAGAGGTCGTCGGTAGGCAACGGCCCTACCGCGTCCCTGAGGCTCGTCGGCGAGCTATTGAGGAGGAAATTCAACAGATGCTGAAGTTGGGGGGGATAGAACCATCACGCAGCCCATGGGCCAGCCCCATCGTGATGGTCCCGAACCTGGATGAACT